GGAGGGCCTTTACTTTACTATTTTAAAATATGTGATAAAATTTAAATGGATAGAAAATATGAATGAAATTTCAAGAGGAGGAGGTTCATGTGACCCACAAACATAGATATTCAAATTCCTTACCTCTTTCATGAAGTATATGTAAATCAAGACATAAAGAGACTATTTATATTCATGACAGAACTTAAGGAGTTGGACAATACCAAATGGTGGAAATGACCTCTCTTATATTTCTTTCTTTCATTTTGGTAGAGGTAGTGGGGGTTGGGTCCATATCTTGGTGCTGGGGAGACCATGTGGTACCAGAAATTGAACCAGAGTCAGCCTCATTCAAGGTAGACACCTTAGCTCCTGCACTCTCTCTCCTGCCTCTTAGCTTTCAAACATGTCTGACGGGATTATTGCTCATCTTTCCAATTAGGAAAGTAATTTGTCATTGACTTATAAAACACAATTCCAGGATTTCTACTCCCCTGAATCCCCTCTAGGGGACTATTTATATATATGATCCAGAAAATGAGTAGCAAAATGCTCCTGACAACACACTTTAAATTATTAAAAAAAAAAAAAAAAAACGGGGCTGGAGCAACAGCAGGACGTTTGCCTTGCACGCAGTCAACATCGCCAACCCAGGTTCAATTCCCAGCATCCCATATGGTTCCCCGAGAACCGCCAGGAGTAATTCCTGAGTGCAGAACCAGGAGTAACCCCTGAGCATAGCCGGGTGTGACCCAAAAAGCAAAAAAAAAAAAAAACCCAGTCCAAATGTGTGCACATATGTCTGCATAAGTATGCTTAAGTACAAACACGAATGTGTGCTTCCATGAGTGGGCCTGTGAGGGTATGCATGCATGTGTGGTCATAAATGTACATGCAAATGTGTGGCACATATGTATGTGCAGATGTGTATGGGAATGTGTATGTGTGTGCATGGTAGGTGTGTATACATGTGTGCATGTGTGCGTGCGCATACATGCATGTGACGTGTATATATGTGTAAGTGTGGGGACTGTGTGTGCATGTGTGGCATATATGTGCAGATGGGCATTTGTGTGGATGTGCGTGCATGCATATATGTGTGTGTGGCATGCAGGTATGTGTAGGCTGTGTGCACGTGTGGACTGAGTGTGCATCTGCGTGTGTGTGTGACGGTGGACAGAACAGGCTTTCCGGGCAGGGACGGCATCTTTGCTCTCCATCAGAGATTCTGCTTTCAGGCCTCGGCCAGCGGCACCTGCCTCCCTACCCGTCCCCCGCTTCACAGTCTCCCTTCCAGCTCCTGGAAACCTGTAGGATACTGAATAATCTATCAGCACTTGTTACTTAGAACATGGATTTTCAAAGCACAGAAGAGGAAACTGAGGCCCAGAAAAGGAAGTAGAGCCAGGCAGGAAAGGCCAGGCCAGACCTGAGAACCTATACTTCCCCAGAGAGCAGCCTGCTCCTTTCACAGACGCCCCAAGTCCAAGCAGCCCTGGCAGCCTCGTGTTCACGTCTGTACAGCAGTGCAGTCCCACAAGGGCTCCATGTTCATCTCCAGCCCTCCCATCACACCCTTCCAAACCCTCCACCCTGAACACAGTCCCACAAGCCAGAGCGAAGGCCCACCTGACCTCAGTCCAGGCCCAGCCAGAACCTTGGAAGCGGATCCTTGTGCTCTACTGGTCACAAGGAAGTGTGTCACAATGGGACAGCAAGGGCCTCTAGTGGGCTAGGAATGATGAGGAAGAACATTCTACCCCAGGGCTCATCTGGCCACTTCTAGACCCTGGGGCAGACTATCCCCAAGAGTCAGCCTTTGCCCAGACAGACGGTTCCTAGACTTCCAGGCTCCCCTAAGAGTTCATCGAGAAACTTTCCTGCAGTCAGTCCTGAGCGGAGGACCAGGTCTGCTTGATTCTCACCCAGGAAAGAATTCAAGCACAGGTTAGAGAAATAAAGGAGAGAAGAGGCTCTCTCGGGGAGTGCCACCCACCAGAGAGAGTGCGGATGCATTGAAGAGAGTAGCCTGGCCGAGCAGGACCAGGAGTTTACGAGAGTTTCCCCACATGGGCAGCACGTGGGCAGCCCTCAGGAGAGGAGCCCCATTCCTACACAGACTTCTAGGGGATATGGGTAGAGGAAAGAGAAGATAATTGAGAATATTTGTTGATTTTTCTCTTTCTTTTTTGGCTCATACAACTTGGCCGACCTGAGCTCAATTCCTCCGCCCCTCTCGGAGAGCCCGGCAAGCTACCGAAAGTATCTCGCCTGCATGGCAAAGCCTGGCAAGCTAGCCATGATGTATTCAATATGCCAAACACAGTAACAAGAAGTCTCACAACAGAGACGTTACTGGGCCCGCTCGAGCAAATCGATGAACAACGGGAGGACAGTGCTACAGTGCTACCCGGTGATGCTCAGGAGTTACTCCTGGTTCTGCACTCAGGAATTATTCCTGGAGGTTCTGGGGGAACCATATGGGATGCCAGGGATCGAACCCGAGACGACTGCGTGCAAGGCAAATGCCTACCCTCTGTACTATCACTCTGGTCCCATATTTGTGGAATTTTCAAAGAAGAGAGAAATCACCACTTTTGGGTGGCAATTTCCCAGAGTCAAGATATCCTCCAGATTCAGATCTTTTCCAGGCCTTGCTCTGGCCATTGAAACTGTCATGAGGCCACTGGATGGGATTTTACCATGTAGATATACATAATGAATAGAGAATGAAGCTGGAAGTCAGTCATCTTGTCACTAACCCCCGCCCTCTGAAATTTTCTTGGCTCCAAATGATGTTGGGCTCCAAAGGGCCTCAGACTTCATTGTTCTCACTGTGGTGTTCAGTCCTGGTGACATAAGAACATATTACGCTTTGGAGCAGAGAGATTGTATAGCTTGTATAGTGGGTATTCTACCGTGAGGCAGTGTAGATAAGGTGTTTACCTGGCATATGTCCAACCCATATTCTCCAGTGCCCCACATGGTCCCTGAGCCCCACCAGGAGTGATCCTTGAGCACAGAGCCAGGAGTAGGACCTAACCACAACTGGGTGTGACCTCCCCCCAAAGAAAAAAAACACACAAAACTCCCCAACAGAGTATAAGGATATGTGAGGGAGACATGATCAAAAGCAGAAACAGGTCAAAGATGGAAGAGGCATATGAAGTTTGAAGTTGATGTAGTAAGGGAGAGGGCACCATAATTTCTGTCCTTGGATAAGAACAAAAATATTTGCTTCAGGGAATAACAGAATGTTGCAGTGGTCAAGCTTTGACATACCTGCATAAATGGGTATTCTACCGCGAGGCAAACTTACCTACCTTCTGCTCCGTTTAAACAGGCTGTAGACCAACTTTACACTGGCCCTTGTGCCTTGTTATCAGGAGGAAAGAGGCTTTGCGGTGTGGAGTGAGAACTGGAGAATAAGCCAGCTCAGAAAAGCTGGTAGGGGGCCAGAGAGATAGGCAGGGATTAAAGTGCTCACCTTGCACAGAGCTGTTCCTGTTTTGATCCCTAGTTCCCCATATGGTCCCCGGAGTTCAGAGATCATAGAGCCATGAGTAACCCTGAACACTGGCCAGGTGTGTTACCAAAACCATAAGTAAGTAAGTAAATAAATAAATAATAAAAACTGTTTCTGGCCCTCAGACTTTATTTTTGTGGCCTGGATAAGCTAAGGTCAGTGTAGAAGTGGAGTAAATGAGCCAGAACAATGGGACACAACAGACAGTGAGATGTCTGAATTGGACTTATTTTTTTTTTTAATTCAGTGACCTGTGCCTTACCTACCCCATGTATTGTCTTTCCGGCCCAGTAGGGTGATTTTTCTTTTTTTTTTCTTTCTAGGTCACACCCAGCAATGCTCAGGGGTTACTCCTGGCTCTGCACTCAGGAATTACTTCTGGCAATGCTCGGGGGACCATATGGGATGCTGTGGGTCTAATGTAGGTTGACTGTGTGCAAGGCAAATACCCTCCTCGCTGTCCTACTGCTCCAGGTCCATAGGGTGATTCTTAAAGTACAAATCTTGGGCTGGAGCAATAATAGCACAGCAGGTAGGGCATTTTTGCCTTGCACATGGTCGACCCGGGTTCAATTACCAACGTCCCATATGGTCTCCCGAGCACCGCCAGGAGTAATTCCTGAGTGCCTGAGCCAGGAGTAACTCCTGTACATTGCCAGGTGTGACCCAAAAAGCAAAAAATAATAATAAAAAATAAATAAAAGATAAATCTTATCAGGCTAGGCCTCTTTGCAGAGAGAGAGAGAGAGAGAGAGAGAAAGTGGGAAGGGGGAAGAGGTGCGGAGAGGCAAGTCGGGACCTTTGCCACCCTGAAAACAAAACTCAAAATGAAGAGCAAGGCCTCACAGACCCACACGTGTCTGGTTCCTGGTATCTCAGAATCAGCTGCAAATGTCCTCCGCAAAGAGTTCTGCACCCAGTGCCTCCTTGTCTCCCTGAGTGCAGAAGTCCTGATTTCCAGGGACCCCTCTTCCCATGGGCTCCATGTCCCGGCCTCCTCGGCCTCCCGGCGGAGAAGGAAGCTCCTATCTGTGATGAGGCGAGTGTGGGCCCAGCACGCAGGGCAAGTTGCAGCGGGAGGCACGGTCTGAGTGGCTGAGTCTCCTAGACCAGGGAAGGGGAGAGGGACCAACTCGGGGCCATGGCTGCTCTCTATTCCCCCGAACCTAGCAGGTAGTTAGAAGCCCTATGCCCCTCCCAGCCGGGTAGCCTTGATTAGGATCCCAGAGGGATCTCTGCAAAGGGGGGGCAAGGATCAGGCCTTCTGCAGTGTAAGCCTGTGCTCACGTGAGTCCCTCCTGAGCCTGGGCTGGCTTTCTGGACCGCGGAGCCACGCTCCCCATGACCTGTCTTTCCCGAATCCACAGCGCCCTCTGCAGACCCAAGAGGCCCCTTGCACCCCTCTTCTCAGACAGCAGCAAGAGCAGAGTAAGCCCCAGGCCTCACTCAGCACTGCAAACAGACAAACATGAGCCTGTAAAACAGAGCAGGGCACAGCGCACTTTTATTAGTAGGATTATTGGAGGGGGACAGAAGGCTGGGTCACACTCCTGGCTCCGAGTTTGGGATTACTCCTGGCAGTGCTCACTCAGGTCCCCTCAGGGCACTTTGATTATCCTGGTCTGGGGGGTCACTTTGATTATCCTCCTCTGGGGAGTCCTAAGGTGTTCATGCGGTGTGGGGGGTTAAACCTGGGCCCCCTGAATGCAAAGCCACTGCTCCTCCTGGCAGCTTTTTAAAACATACAGAGAAGGGGCTGGAGCAACAGCACAGTGGATAAGGTGCTGGCCATGCACACATGCTGACCCGGGTTCGATCCTTGGCATCCTGGGTGGTCTTCCAAGCCAAGAACTTCAAGGAGTGATTCCTGAGCACAAGGAGTAAGTCCTGAGCACAGCAAGTATGGCCCCAAAACTAAATATATAAAAGTAGAAATTAAAAAAAAAAACATACAGAGAAAAAAAAACTTTCTTCTCATCTGTGTACAATCCCCTAAAACTAGTCTCCAAAGACTAGGTAGAAAGGGCCTGGTGAAGTGTAACTCCAGAGATGACACCCTTCCACCTCCAAAGGGCATGAAGGGCCAGACTCAGCCTTCAGTGCCCAAAGGGCCATTGTGTCCCGTCTGCTACCAGCTTTCCCCTCACTCCTGAAAGCTTCTCCTTGGGTGCCACACGGGTCCAAAGACTTTGTCCACGGGGTGGTGAGGCTCATGTGATTTCGTGACTGGAGGAGCAGCAAGAGACCGACTAGGACAGTGGCGGCCATGCCACCAATACCAACCCCCTGAACAGCAGAGAGGCTGGTGCCACTGGCTGATAAAGGCAGAGAACTGGGGTCACACCCACACCTCAGGCTGCCTCAGAGAAGGTGGTGTGAGGAACGGAGCTTCTGTAAGGTCCCTATTTGGGACTGGAGGTACCTGTGAGGGCAGACCTGGCCCTCACCCTTGGGAGGTCACCTTGAAGGTCGGGCAAGGTGGGGCCAGCACGTGGCTGAGGCGGGACTCTGAGGTGTCACAGAAGGTCAGGGGTGCTGGCAGTGACCAGAAGGGGACCAGAAGGCTGGAGTAAAGAAGGACTCCCTGAAGTCACTCATGGAGGGGCAGAGCAGAGGTCAACATGAAGATCTCTGAAAACCCACAAACGTGGCCAGGCAGAAGAGTTCCCTTTTATTTTATTTGTTTTTACTTTTTGGTTTTTGAGTCATACCCAGCACTGCTCAGGGGTGACTCCTGGCTCTGCACTCAGGGATCACTCCTGATGGTGCTCAGGAGACCATGTGTGGTGACAGGGATCAAACCCAAGTTGGCCACATGCAAGGCAAGCTTGTTTCTGCTATACTATCATTCCGGCCCTATTTTATTTTATTTTATTTTATTTGTGTGTGTGTGTATGGTGTATGTGACTGTCTGAATATGTGTGACGGTGTGAATGTGACTAGGTGTTGTATATGTGATTGTGTGTGTGGTGTGTTACTGCGTGAATGTGACTGAGTGTATATGTGTGTGACTGTGTATGGTGTATATAATTGTGTGTATGACTGTGTGACTGTGGATATGTGACTGTGCATGTGGTGTATGTGACTATGACTGTGTGTGTGACTATGTGTGCGAGAGACTCTGTGTGTGTGTGTGTGTGTGTGTGTGTGTGTGTGTGGTGGTTCCAGGAGTCAAGCCCCGGGCCTCAAGCAAGCATGGCACGCACTTAGCCATGGAGCCAGTTCCCTGGCCCTGAGTCCCTTAGACTGAGGGGCTGGCCAGGGTCACCCTTGTCCCTGCCCCTGAGAGGAGCCAAGGCAATCTGAGCCACACAGTGCAGAGGGGTAGAGAGCACAGGAGGAGCAGAGTTCCCTATGCCCCCTTTCCCTGCACCCCTGAGCTGTGTGCAGGATGGGGTGGGGCCTTTGAAGAGCAATGAGGCTCACTTTCCCAGGTGCAGTTTCTGATGTACTTTGGCACTGCCTTAGCCAGAGGAGGGCCTGGCCCAGATGCTGGAGGGAACACGTCCGCTTCTGTTACTTTTCCTCCACCAGCCTGGACAGGGGCCACAGATGCTTTTCCTCCTCTGGCCACAAACTCAGAAAGGCCCCCCCCCTTAGATGCTCTGCTCTGAACTGGGCTGTATTTGGAGATCAGGTGATCCTGGCAGGAGGAGACCTGGGGACTTATACCCCCAAACACTCAGAAGTCCGAGGCACGCTAGGCCCTGAGTGGGGGATTGGGGGCAGGGACAGAGAGAGAATGGGAGGAGGGAGCTTCTGTCCCTGAAGCTTCTGGGCAGGTTTGGCCATGGGACCAGGGTAGTTCCACTGAGCGCTGTCCCTGCAGGCCATCGTGTCCTGCCCATGGGGCCCAGCCGTGTCCCAGCAAACCTCCAGACCACCCTGGCTGCAGAGTCATACTCAGAAATATGTGCTGCTCACGAAGTCCCCTCCAGGGCTGGGGGGGCTGGTCGATGCCTCCTTCTCTGAGGTCGCAGACCTGGAGAGGACAGAAGGCCGTCATTGCCCCTTCTGGGCCTGGTAGCCCGGCACCGACCCTCTGCAATGCAGGGACCAATTGACCAGGCTGGTGGCTCTTGAGAGGGGCCCCCACTGGCAGTGAAATCCAGTGAGGCCTGGATTCCAAGTGTCGTCGAGAAGGCAGGGAGCTCACCCTGCCGGGGGATGCTCCACCATGTCAGCGATGGTGTCCTTCAGAGCCTGGCCGCGCGTCTCGGGCAGCAGGATGCACAGCAAGCCCACCCCGATGGGGAGGCCACCGTAGAGCAGCTTCGGGAGGGCCACGTGGACGTCAGCCAGCAGGATCACGAGTGGGGTGATGATGCCCCCGATCCTCGAGAAGACCCCCACCAGTCCCATGCCGGTCTGCCTGGGGGGAGGGCAGCATGAGGAGAGGTCATTTAGGCAGAGAAGACCCCCGGAGCCTTTTACAGTGGCCCACCGAGGCTGACAGCTCTCTCAGACCAGGCAGCCTCCCTGCTGGCCACTCTGCGCAGGAAAGTCCTCACTTCCGGCCGGGCACCTGCTTCTCGAAGATGGTGTGGCATACTTCGCTCACCCATGGCACCTCTGATCCCCCCAGCCCACACCTGGCCGTTCCCCATCAGGCCCCCTGTGCTGAGCCTGACAAGGGCTGGGCTGGTCAGGTCAGACACAACCAGGCTGCTGGGCCTGCATTTCCCATCGCTCAGGACCCTGTGGGCTCTCGGGGACAGAGTGAGGGTGAGGGCTCGGCGTTACCTGAGGATGGTGGGGAAGAGCTCTGCAGAGTACACGTAGGAGATGGTGAAGCCGGCGGCTGTGGCAAACTTCCCCACCACGGCCAGAACAGTGACCACCACGGGCAGATCTGGGGCAGAGGCGCCAGTCAGCCACAGGGCATACAACAGCCCAACCCCTGGGGCTTGTCCCCTCATCCCCTCTGAGTCCTCACCCCTTTGTGCCTGAGCCCCACCCACCCAAAACCCTCATTCCTGAAAGGGAAGCCACAGATAAGGGCCCAGCCGCCCACCGCGGGTGACTGAGGGTGGGGGATCGGGAGAACTGGTTTATTACCTGCTGGGATAAAGATGATGATGATGGACATGAGGCCCCCGAGGACCAGAGTCCCCAGCTGGCTCCACCTGCGGCCCAGCCACTGCATCAAGAAGATGCTGGAGTAACGTGCGGGCACTTCTACTGTCCCGAAGATGAGCTGCGTCAGGTAGATGTCCAGGCCAAAGTCCCCCACTTGGAGACCCAGCCCAAAGTACCCCAGACTGTCCACAAACCTACAAGGACCCAAGCGGCCTCGTCACCTTAGGGAAAACCCAGCGACTCCCAGATACCCCCTAGCCCCAGCCCATAGCCTGGCTGGGAGGGGGTTGGAGGGGGAGAGAGAGAGATGGGCCCCAAAGTACTCACCAGACGCAGAAGAGAATGAGGGTGATCTTGCGGAGCTGGGGGTGTCGGAACAGATCCAGGGCGTTCCCCCGGGGGCCTGTCTTCTCCGGGACCAGCTGGGAGGAAGGCGCCGAGTGAGGGCTGACCGCAGGCAGAGCGTGGGACCCAGGGGCAGTTGCCCGCGCGGTCACACACACCAACCTGGTCCAGGAGCTCAGGGGAGATTTTGCGCCTGTTGATGGCGGCTGCCTTCTGGATCACTCGCTTGGCTTCCTCCACCCTCCCCCGGGCGAGGAGCCAGCGGGCAGATTCAGGAAGAACCCTGAGTGGAGGGGGAGGGGGTGGAGGAAGCAGGGTAAGTCTGGGGAGGCAGGGGAGGCTGCTCCCCTCAGCTCTGTCTCCTCCGGGGCGCGAAGTGGAGCCGGGGGTCCATCTGTCTCCTCACCAGAAGTAGAAGCAGAGCAACAGGACGGGTGCCGTGCCGGCCATCTGGAAGATCCTCCAGTTGCGAACGCCGTAGGCCAGTCCCGCCAGGATCATCTGTCCCACGGAGAAGGCGCACTGGGCCAGGACCACGGCCTGCGTCCTCCTCTGGGGCCCCACCCACTCTGAAACTGCCCACAGAGGCTGGCCAGATGCATCCCCGCCCCCACACAGGGGTGTCCACAGGGTCACCTGCCCCCTCCAGCCACAGTGGGTCACCCGGGGCCTGGGCTCCGGGGCCCAGGTACTCACTCACGTAGGGCCACGTTGCTGAAGGTGTAGCCCGACACGGCAGTGGCCACAGCAAAGCGCATGACCATGTAGACCTCAAAGTTGGGCACAAAGGCCGTGGACAGGCCCACGAGGGCAAAGAGGAGCAGCTGTAGCAGAATTGCGGCCTTGCGGCCGATCCTAGCATGAAAAAGGGCAGGCTGGGGCCGGAAACGTAGTACAGTGGGGAGGGTGTTTGCCTTGCATGTGACCAACCTGGGTTTGATCCCCGGCATCCCATAGGGTCCCCCAGCACTGCCAGGACTAATTCCTGAGTACAGAGCTAGGAGGAACCCCTGAGCATCGCTGGGTGTGGCCAAAAAGAAAAAAAAAGACAGCAGGCTTATGGGGCAGAGAGGGGGTGTGTGGGGTGCTCTCCTGGGACCTTAGCCAAGGGGGGTCAGCAGATGAGCGGGAGCCCCCTAGTAGGGTTGTGGGGGAACAGCACCTCCTCCTAGGACACCAGGGTCGGGGCGCCAGGTGGGGAGCCCTGGAGCCCAAGCACACATCAGGCCAGGGATGAGCTGACCAAGGTTCTTACCAGTCGCAGAGGGGCCCAAAGATGAGGGCCCCGAAGAGAAGGCCAGCCATGAACACAGACTGCGAGGTCTCCTTCAGAATCTTCCGGTGACACACGAGGTCAAACTGAGGCAGAGACAGGCAGCAGTGAGGCACCCGCAACACAGGGGCAGAACTCCTGCTAGTCTGCTCTGGAGGACATCACCCGGCCCACTCATAAGTCATCACGCTAACTGGGGCCTGACTCCCATGCCCAGGCACCCTCAGGGCACAGGGTGAAGTCTGGAGGGGTCTAGCACAATGGTGGTTTTTTATTTTCCGGAGGTGGGGGGGATGTGGTGTGGTGGTGGTGCCATATCTGGCAATACTCAGGGCTTACTCCTGGCTCTGCGCTCAGGGATCACTCCTGGCAAGGCTCAAGGGGACCGTATGTGGTGCTCGGGAGCGAACCCTGGTTGATGGTGTGCAAAGTAAGTGTCCTACCTGTTGTTCTATCTCTAGGGCTTCTGGGAGCTTCGAATTGATTTCTCTCTCTCTCTTTTTTTTTTTTAATTTAATCACCATGAGATAGTTTGCAAACCACAGCACCCAAAAGGAGAGAGAGAACAACAGGGAATGCCCTGTCACAGAGGCAGGGTGGGATGGGAGGGATGGGGGGTGGGAGGGATACTGGGATCTGTGGTGGTGGAGGGTGGGCACCGGTGGAGGGATGGGTACTCGATCATTGTATAACTGAAACCCAAGCACAAAAATTTGTAAGTCTACAACTGTACCTCAGGGTGTTTCACTAATAAAAATTTTTTAAAAAATTCATGTTTGAGTTTCAGTCATACAGTGATCAAACACCCATCCCTCCACCAGTGCACATTCTCCACCACCAATGTTCCCAGTATACCTCCCTTTTCCACCCCTCTGCCTGCTTTCTAAGTATTTGCAGTAAGGGGCAAATGATTAGCTGCTTGCCCTGGGGCCAAAGGGGAAGAGGACTGGAGAGGCCTGAGCTGGCACTTGCCCCTGGGTTTTATCCTGTTTGATCTTTGTCTAGCCAATGTGGATTGTCTTGGCAGTTAGACACAATTTAACCGGAATAATAGTAAGTGAAGGTTCCCTGGCACCAGCCTCTGGAGACAGGAGTGGGTGGTCTGGTGTGACCCTGAGCCCATCTGCCACAGCTCAGGTTTTCCAGACATGACGAAGCGTGGCCCAGTCCTGTTAACACGTGGCCTGAGCAGGAGCAAGGTGGCCACACGGGCAGCCCACGTGGGCTGGGCTGAGGGTGTGTGAGTCCCTGGGCTAGGGAAGTGCATAGGGTTGACAGGGACCGACGTGGAGACCTGGACTGTGACACACACGCTGAGTCACACGTGCAATCCTGGGGGACCCATTCTACCTCCCTGTCCTCCCCATGCCCCTTCTCCATCAAATCCTGGCTTGAGACTCAGGAAAGCTTATTTTGTGCTTATTTTTCACTCTTCTCTGAGCCTGGGTCCCCGAGGCAGCAGGGATGCTCCCAAGCTCATGCAGTGGCATCATGCTGCAGATGACACAGAGATGAAGGAAGCACCCCCACACTCGGGCCCACAGTGGACAGTGCTGTCCTGTCCTCACCTGCTGTGGGGGACCCTATTTTTTGAAGCGTATGCACACACGTGCACGCGCGCGCACACACACACACACACACACACCCTGTCCACATGAACCTCTGTATGTTTCTCTATTTGAGGGCCACACCCAGCGGTGCTCAGGACTTACTCCTAGCTCTGTGCTCGGGGATCATTTCTGGCGGTGCTCAGGGGACCCTATTTGGTATGGGGAGTTGGGCCTGGGTCAGCAGCCCATGCAACCCCTGTGCATTCTCTCTAGCTACCCCCCCCCCCCAGAGCCTCTGAATGGGGAGGGAACTCGATGCTGAACAGCAACAATCAACCAACATCGTGGAATGAGACAGAGAGGGGAGCCCCTTCTAGGAGTAGTGTGGCATGCCAGGCTTGTCTGCGAGGGCAGACAAATGAGACAGGCTGGGAAATAGGCCAGTCCCAGTCTGTAAAGGGTCTGAGACACGGGGCTGGAGAAGTTGGGCTTTTCTCCTACAAACCTGCGGGATCGCCTCGTCACCAAGAATGGCTCCTCAGGAAATGCTGGACGGGGGAAAGAAATGTCCACTGTCCTGTTAGGGTAGTCTATGGACGGGCAAACACGTCTTTTCCTCTCGCATGGGGACTGTGAGGGAGTTGCGGGGTACTGTAAGGAAACTCGAGGTGTCGGTTCAGAGAAGGGTCTCCCTGGAATGGGCATGGCCTAGCCCCTCCTCGCCCCACAGACAGGACACAGGCAGAGCTCACCTCTAAGAGATCATGGGAGATCATTAGCTCAGGGCACAAAGTGCCAAAAGTGGACCTTCCCTTGGGGATCACAGTCCTCTAGAGGGTGCAGTGGGAGGGAGCTAGACAGTGAAGGGTGAGAGTTCCAAGGCCCAGTGCCAGCATCCATGAAATCTGGGCACCTTCTCTTCCCTGACCAAACCTGACCCCGATTCCAAGTACAGAGTTGCCTGGAGCTCCCCGGACACTGCCTGCCCTCTGCGGCCAGGCCTTCCTGGCCTCTTCTCTGCCTGCAGAGTGTCTGCTCTCACCCACCCTCTGACGCTGCCTGGGGGCCCCAAATCCCACCCCAACTCCTCCAGAAAGCCATGCACCCTCCAGATGCAGCATCAGAGCGTGTTGCCTCATCCCCCACCAGGAGGTCACACCTTCTTGGCTGAGCATCAGAGAGAAGGAGGGCAGGGCGCTTGCCCCTGTGCCATCCACTGTGCGGCTCTACCTGAGAGTCTGGCTGAGCTCACACCCACAGACCAGGACTGAGCGAGCACAGTCAAGCTGAGTTGGCTGTGAGAGATGAGGAATCTCCCCCACTTTCAGGCAGGGAGCACTGGGCTGGGGGGGGAGAGTTTGTGCACGGGAGGGAGGGAGGATGTCCGCAGGTGCTTGGGAGAGGATGCAGCAGAAGACGGTGTGTGTGTGTGTGTGTGTGTGTGTGTGTGTGTGTGTGTGTGTGTCGGGGTGGGGGCACTTGGGCTTGACTGAGCGGGGAGTTCAGGGTCGCCTCTGCCTCTTGAGCAGCATAAGACAGAGGGTCAGGAGACTGCAGGACACATACTCAGGTGATCAGGGCAGGGGCAAGTTGATGTCACATCAGAAAGTGCATGTTGGGAACTGGAGTTAGGGGACTTGCATCTATCTGATGGGATCCCCAGCACTACAGCATTGTTCCTTGCTATTTGGGCAATAGTGACTGTCACTCTGGAGGCCACCCAGGACTGCTGGGGTGGCCCTGGTGGTCCACGGCACTGTGAGCCCCGAAGAGCACCCTGTCCTGGGCCCTCAGTCCGCACTGCTGGCCTGAGTGACCCAGAGTCACCAGGAGGGCCTCCCTAGCATCTGGGGGTGGGGCAAGGGGAGAGGTGACCTGCAATGTAAAGAATGTAAATATTTGCTTTTGGCTAAAGACTGTCTTTTGAAGGCCTCAAGCTATGCATGTACTTTGCCACCCACAGGAGAGAGGCAGTGAGCGGGGCTGGAGAGAGTCCAGTGGATAAGGCATCTGCCCTGCATGCAGCCGCCCGGGCTCCCTCCCTGGCACCACACAGTGCCCTGAGCACCACCCACCAGGTGGTGCAGCCCTGGAGGTCCTCACGCACGCATGACGGGGGGTGGCCTGGGTCTCCCTGGCACTGCAGAGACTGAACAGTGTCGCATCCTGGGTTCCTCGCCTTGAACCACTGGCCTGCATGGCTGAGAATTGCCAAGAGGGGTCTCAAGCCCAGGTGGGCAACACTTAGGAGGAGATGTCTCCCTTCGCCCCCCAGGAAAAAAAAATCCCTCAAAGTGAGTTTTTAATCTTGGGGCTTCCCACAAAGACTCAGGATTTGACCCTACAAAGGTGAACATTCTGTGGGTCCTCTGAATAAAGAGCACCTACCCCTTGGTCCAGGTTCTCTCCTGCTCCTGGGAAAGGGTCAGCAGAGAGGCCCAGCTCCGTGATGAGTCCATGATGGGGCCCGGGGCCCGGGAAGTGACGCAAAGGGCTCAAACACTAGTCTTGTTATGAGGAAGACCTAGGTTCTGGCCCTGGTGCCACATGGCTCCTCAAATTTTGCTAACTTTTGCCCTGGCATACCTGGTATAGTTCTGTAGCACTGTCCTCCCGTTGTTCACTGATTTGCTCAAGCTGGCACCCGTAACATCTCCATTGTGAAATTTGTTGTTACTGTTTTTGGCATATCAAATATGCCACGGGGAGCTTGCCAGGCTCTGCCGTGCAAGCGGGATATCTTGGGAGCTTGCCGGGCTCTCCGAGAGAGATGGAGAAATCAAACCCAGGTCGGCTGTGTGCAAGGCAAACGCCCTACCTGCTGTGCTATCGCTCTAGCCCACAGCTGGATGAGGTTCAAAAAATTTTTGTTTCGACCGCCCCCCCCCCCGCCCCCCCCCCCACACACACACACTGGCTTGGAAGCCACCAGCCTTTCTGCTCTCTGAAGGCCTTTCTTGGAGAGGGAGGTCGAGAGGGATCCCTGATCATCTGCCCAGGTTGCGCCTAAGACAACAGATTTTGCTCAAATGCTTCATATCCTCTCCAGGGCTAGTGCAGGATCGGGGTATCCTCTAGCCTCTCTGAGACAAGCAGGTGAGCAGAGAACGCGAGAGAGAAGCCGGAAGGCAGGAAGACCCCATGAAGCCCCTGGGGGAAGTGGGGAACGGTGAAGACAGGGAAAAGCTAACAGGTGACCTTGGGAGATGGAAGCAGACATGCAAGGCAAACAGATGACCAGTGATTGCCCAGGAGAAGAGGCAGAAAACCAAGAACAGATGACTGGAAGGTCAAGGCGAGTGGGCAGGGCTGGAGAAATAGGACAGAGGTTTGTGGCCGACCAGTTTGATCCCCGGCACCCCACAGGGCCCCTGGAGCCTCTCCAGGAGTGACCTCTGCATGCAGAGCCAGGAGTAAGCCCTGAGCACTGCCAGGCATGACCCCAAAATAACAACAAAAGATACCTGGAAACAGACCAGAAATGCATAAGGCGGCAGAAGGGCCAACAGGCAGAAGACAAGGAAAGGACAAATGGTGTTTGGCAACAAGTCAAATGTGTTCCTGGACTGGCTCATAGCAGAGGGCAGCCGTACCTCATTCAGCAGGGAGGGGGCCCTGGCTTCAGGGTAGTCCCAACCCTCCTCGCAGGGTTGGGTCTCATTGAAGCGATGGCCGAGGATGTCTTCCAGGCTGGCGTTGTCGGGGGGTGGCCGGAACATGAGGCAGGACTCGGGGTGGCCGTTATCACTGAGGGGGATGCTCAGGTCCAGTTGCTCCGTGGCACTCAGGTTGAGAGTCTGGTTCTTGACCCAGGACACAGAACAGTGGTGGGCCTCGTCCAGGACCATGAAGACCTGGCCGAACATGTAGAAGGCCGTCAGCAAGTTGGGGATAGCAAGCAGAACCAGCAGCCGGATCTGGAAGCGACCGAAGTCACCAATTTCTGCCAGGACCTGGCCAAACTCAGCCATCGCGGCCCGGCACGTTCTTCTCTACTCAGCCACCTCAGCTGTGTGGCGTGTGGCACTTCTCCTCCCGGGAGCGATGACAGTTGCATTAATGTTTAATCCAGTCGTGCCCAGCCCGCTTGTCATTCCCCAGCTCACTCGCTGGGAAGGACAGCAGACAATGAACGGGCAGTCCCCTCTGGAGACGTCTCCGGATGGAAGTCATAGGCTCAAGCACCGTTAAGGCAGCCCAGAGCAGCTGCTCCACCTTCCTTGCTCTCGGAGCAGACCCCCTTCAATGGTGGAACTCCAAACAACTCACACCTCCGGCTCTGCTCCTCCCAACAGCCAGAACCCACCATCTGAAAGCAGCAGCAGAAGTCGCATGCTGGGGACACAGAAGCTTCGTGCAGGGACAGTGCCCTGGGCCGTGGGGGACAGGTCAGGAGAGCCTGCCTGGCTCCCCAGAAGCCTGGGCTGGCCTCCTGCTTTCACCCCTTCCCTTCCCTCTGCTGATTGTTTGTTTTTATTTCTTGGTGCTCAGGCTGGAGCGATAGCACAGTGGGTAGAGCATTTGTCTTGCACGCGACCGACCTGGGTTCGATTCCTCTGCCCCTCTCGGAGAGCCTGGCAAGCTACTGAGAGTATCTTGCCCACACAGCAGAGCCTGGCAAGCTGCCCATGATGTATTCGATATGCAAAAAACAGTAACAAGTCTCACAATGGAGACATTACAGGTGCCCACTCGAGCAAATCGATTAACAACAGGACAGTGCTACATTTGCTACAGGGGTTATTCCTGTCTCTTCACTCGGGGATCGCTCCTGGCAGTCTTCAGGGGACCACATGGGTTGCCAGGGGTCAGCTGTGTGCAAGGCAAGTGCCTCATCTCTGCTGTTGATACTGTTGTGGTGCCAGGTATGCCCCTTGGTCCCACGCACTGGTGTGTCGGGGTTCCAATGATGGGGATGCTGCGGGGATCACCCTCAGCCCGTGAGCAGTGCTCCAGGGACAGTGCGGGTGGGCTCAATCCTGCCAGGCCAGTGCTCTCCCCATCCCCCCAACAACGAGCTGCATGCCCAGCTCCTCCCCTCCCCCAGTTTTGCTCGGGATCCCCACTGTTTTCCTCCAGGTTGTGGTGCTAGCTGCAGTCCTGCCACTGCAGCGAACATGCCAAGGGATGTCATCAGTTTGCACGGCAAGGACACATTGTTACCTCGTGCAACAAAGTGCTGCAATTCTGGGCCAGCGAGATCCCTGAGGTCCACAAGGTGCTGTGGAGCAACCCTGGCCCTCAGCTGTGAGAAACAGGCTCAGGTCCTCTGTCTCCTCTATCCACAGCCACAGCTAAGGGCACCTTTGGGGTACCTCTCAACCCAGCTGGGGTCCAGGTTTCAGTGGGACGCACACATGGTGGCAGGCACACCGAGTTTCTGACAGGACTGGTGACAAACAGAAAGCCGTCCTGAGGGAGGCCTCTTCTAAGGAGAAAGCACAGGAGGCTTCCTGGAAGAAGACCCAGTTCCTAAGGGGTCAAGGCAGATGGGGCATGACAGACTGGAGAGCGGCTGGGGAGGCCAGCAGAAAGTCACATGCCTTGGACCCACTTGGAAGACCAGGGTCTGTGGGTGTGTGCACCAGCACCATTTGTTGTTGTTGCTTGCTTTGGGGTGCTACCCCCGGCTCAGGCCTTCTCTCCTAGTGGGGCTCAAGGACCCTATGCAATATGAGGATCAAACCCAGGTCAGCTGCAGGCCAAGCAAGTAGCTTATCTCCTATATGCTCTCTGGCCCAAGTGGTTTGAGATTTGGAGCCATTTTTGAGACGGGACTAGATGAAGGGAACACAAGAGGGGCTGGCGCAGGGTGGTCAGGGAACACGTCTGTATCTGCCCATTGATGGGCACAGCTGCTGGGAAGCTGCTTGGAGGATAACATTGGTTTGTCCTTTCTCCTTTGCCATAGGGAGCTTAGGTTTATCGGTTATGCCTATCCCAGTGCTCTGGAGACACTCCCACTCCTTTGTTTATCTGTAACCTCTTTGTGCTCTCCTCCCCAACCAGCTAATCACCTTTTTCCCCTAATCAGATTCTGTTAACTTGTAAGGTCAGATCCTTCTAAGGACTCTGAACTTGTATTGTAAATTAAATATTGCTTTTCTCCATCTTTTTATAGTTTACTTTTTTTAAAAAAATTTATTAGTGAGACACCCTGAGGTACAGTTGTAGACTTACAAATTTTTGTGCTTGGGTTTCAGTTATACAATGATCAAGTACCCATCCCTCTACCAGTGCCCATTTTCCACCACCATGGGTCCCAGTATCCCTCCCACCCCCCATCCCTCCCATCCCACCCTGCCTCTGTGGCAAAGCAATGTCCTTTTTGTATGGACACAGGAAGACAGTTAATATTATGCTTTTGTAACTTGGGAGTTGACTCCGAATAATAGTCACTCCTAGACATCTGCTTTCTCAACTTAAGCCTCAGTTGTCCTTAATTCCTAGCACCCCAAAAGCAGGGTCCCGATGAGGGACTGAATAGACCCAAGGCAAGCTATGAGATACCCTGGCATCGAAATGGGCCAGGCCAAAGCAGAACAATACTTGTAAGTCAAGAGCATGGTCATGGACAAACTCTGTGATGACCCAAAAGAGGTAACCGAATAAGGACCCTGCTGGGGTTCGGAAGACTAACCTGCCTGAGGACTGTGGTCTGGAATATATAGTGAAATGTCCTCAGGAAGAACCAAACTTTAAGCTTGGTATCTCTTACTGTGCTCATACAAAATGACACTGCTAGAAATATTAGAATATCACAACCATTTAAGTGGATTACTAGTTGGGGAAAGAAGAAAACAACACACCCTGAATGGAATTCCTCTTACCTTTGTTGATTGGTTAATGTTCAGTCCCACCTTTGTATCCCCATCCTACATGATTTCTATATAAACAAGGCTGTAAGAGTGGGCTGGGGGATCCAGAGAGAGAGAAGAAGGAGAATCAGAGAAGAACGGAGAGGAGATTAGAATAAACTGCAATTAACACAGACCAGCCTGGCCCTCGTCCTGCCCATCGCCATCGGCCTCCCAGGGGTGGGGAAAGCAGGGACCACCAAACATGGGCAGCGAGAGAGATAGAACACTGCTGCCCTTTAGCATATATGAGCTGGTGCAGGGTGACCAGGGAAGATGTCCGTATCTGGCCCACTGATGGGCACAGTCGCTGGGAAGTTGCTCATGTCTGTGGGTTGGACAGTCATGCTGGCCGAACGGACGAGGAGGGGTGGTGGCATGAACACTTTCTTCTCTGTCCAGCTCCCATCACCTCAGCACTAAGCCTGGCTATCTCCTTCCTCTCCAGTCTTCTGGCAAGTTCTCATTCTCAGCGTCACTTGATCAAACTGCCAAGAGAAGAGGCCCTTGTACTGTCCTGACTGGGATGGCCACCAGCAATGCTCAGCCTTCACTGGCCCCTCAGTCAGGGTCAGCTGCTTCCTTCAGCTCCAAGTAGCCCAGGGAGTTGGAGAAAAGAGGTAGGGAACTTAGGCTCTGGCCGCTGACCCTGAATCCATCCCTGTGACCTCCTTGGGCTCCACTTTTCTACACCAGTGTAAAGGATAAGCTTAAATGAGCTGGTCTCTAAGGACCCCTTCCATGCTTGGGGTAAGATTCCAGACCACACAAAGAAATGCAAGGAGAAATCAAGTAAGTTGTTGTTTTTTTTTTAAATTACACAGTACTACCTGCAAATGGTCTAATGTTCTTTGAAAACATGCTCAAATTAGTCTTAAATTAGTTGTTAAGGATACAGGGCAACTACTGCAAATACTAAAAAGCGGAAAATAAAAACTGAGCTGTGGGGGCACAGCTCACACTTGGATGCACGCACTGAGCACCTGTAAAGCCCCGAGCTTGATCCCCAGTGCTACAATTCCCTGAACAGCTCCAGGAGTGACCCCTGTGCACCCAGCTGGGGTTAAGCCCTCTAGCACTGCAGGATATAAACCTGGTGGTCCCCAAATACAGAACTGTTAGGTTTGCTTTGCTGGGCTGGACATCATCAGGAATGGCCCCCAGGCCCTTAGTAATGTGAAGTTTTACACCTACTGAAAAATATTTTTAGGGGCTGAAGAAGAGATAGTACAACGGGTAGGGTGCTTGACTTGCACACAACCGACCAGGGTTCAATCCCTAGCATCCCATATGGTCTCCTGAGCATATATAATTTTTTAATTAAAAAGTTAAAGTGAGATGCTAAAAAAAAATCATAACATTCTCAATTAAAACTGAAAAAGTCAGACAAAGAGTGAAAGACAAAGGAAGAGCAAGGGCAATAGTAGGGACAAATTGGTTGTCATCAATCCATCTACATCAACATTCGCTTTAAATTTAAATTGGGATGAGGCTGAGCCGCACCTGATGTCCAACAGTCTAGGAACACAGATTTCACTTGTTGCTAATCACTCTTTGTCCTTTCTTTGTCTTCTGTCTGTTGGTCCTTCTGCCTCCATAAGTCTTTCTGGTCTGTGTTTCCATTTGCTCAGGTGTCTTTTGTTGTTGTTTTTGGGTCATGTCTGGCTGTGCTCAGGACTTACTCCCAGCTCTGAACTCAGAGATCACTCACTAAATGGAGTGCCAGGGATTGAACCCAGACCAGACACATGCAAGGAAAGAACCTTACTCACTGTACTATCTTAGCAGACCTCCATTTCAAATTTCAACATTCTGGAAGTACAGTGCAGCCAGCAGGTCAACCTGTACCAGCATCAGCAGCCTAATGGTGCCTTCAGGTTTTCTGATACCCCAAAATTGCCACTGTGTTTCTGATCAGACCCCAACAAATCAGGACCAACTTTCCAGAAAAACTCAAATGTCCAAAAGTTAGGTATGTGGGAGCTAGGCACACAAACCACCTCCAGCTCAGCTATACAAATTCATTTATTGGCCTTGCTTCGGTGACCCATAACTAAAAGTCGCAGTTAATCTCAGACCCATGCAAGGCTAAACAAACCAGGGTAAATTGGAGAGGGGAGGGTCAGCCTGG